AATATTTCCCAACTTAATGAAGCCAGGACTGGCCTGACACCAAAACAAGATGAAAGCATAAAAAAAAAAAAAAAATGAAAAGAGAAACACAGGCCAATATTTCTTATGAATATGTACACCAAAATTTTCAGCAAAAGATTAGCAAGCTGAACACAGAAATATATGAAAAGATTTATATGCCATGACCCGGTGGAATTTACCTCAGGAATGCAAGATTGATTTAACATCAAGGAATTAATTAGTCGAATGCATTGTACCTCTCGTAACACATTATTATCTCAATAGATGCATAACCAAGAAACATCAAAATTCAAGACATTTTACATCATTAAAAAAACAGAAAAAATAGGACTAAAAAGGAACTTTCCAAGTTCTTCAATTTAAAAAATCGCATCTATTAAACAACAACAACAAAAAAATGACAAACATCATATTTGATGTGAAAGACTGAATGCATTCCTCCTATGATCAGGAACAAGATAAATATATTCACTATCAGTAATCCTACCCAACATTTTACTAGAGATTTTCTCTCAGAAAAAGTAGACAAGAAAAATAAATAAATGGGCTCTAGACTGAAAAGGGAGGATTAAAACTCTTTCTATTCACAAATGACATTTTCTTGTATATAGAAAATCCCAAGGAATTCACTTATTAGAATGAATAAATGAGCTCAGCATGGCTGCAGGATGCAAAACAAATATACAAAAACCAATTGCATTTTTATAAACCTGAAATTAATAATCCAAATAGGGATTTATGGAAAACATTACATTTATAATAACTTCAATAAAGAGAAATACTTAGCAATAATGTTAACTCATGTGCAAAATTTGTACTGTAAATACAAGACACCATGAAAGGAAAATTTAAAAGATTGAAATAAGTGGAAAGATATCAATATTTATTCTGGAATTTTCTCTAAATAGTCAACATAGAGTTATCATATGTAAGAACTGTCAATTCCACCCTAATATGTAAGCAAGGGAATTGAATACATATACATTCAAACTTATGCAGAAATTATGATGGCAGTTATTTAGAGTGCCCCAAAGAAGCAAAAGCCCAAGTGTCCATCATGGATGAATAGCTCAGCAAAATGTAGCATATCCATAGAATTGAATATTACTTGGCAATAAATATAAAATACTGATAAATGTTAAACACAGATGAACACAGAAAACATCATGTTGAGTGGAAGAGGTTAGACACAAAAAATGACATAGTGTATGATTCATTCATTCCTATAAAATGTTTAGATTAGGAGGATTTATGGAGACAGAAAGTAGATTAGTGGTGACGACTAGGGACAACCCTTATTTTATTGCTTGATTCCATAGATGCTAAGATGGTTTGATGAGTAATTTAGAATGTCTGATATAGAACGTCTGCATTCTATATCCTTTCCAGTTCTTTATTAGAGGAGGACCTTTGAACAAGTCACTCAGCTTCTCTGAACCTCACAGAACAGTATTCAATTATGTTATAAAGAAAGGAATTGGTGTCTAGGCATTATTTTTTTTTTTGAAGCGGGGAAAATTCAATTTTATAAATTTTTCCCCCAATTGCAGACCAGACCTCATAGAATTAAATGTACACTACGTGGAAGCATTGTGAGGATGCAAAAGGGGTAGTTATTGTTAATTGATGTTAAATAAATGAATAATAAATAAATGATTTTTTTTTAATCTAGGTGACAAAAATGCTTGTGTCAAAAAATTTTAAGTGAACATGCTCCCCCCACTCCAAATTTTGTGATTTTGTGTCATGACCCTGGTCTCGGTCACCGCAGGAAGGAACCAGGCGTGACATGGTTACAAGTACAAGCCTGTGGGAGGTGGGCTAACCTTAAGTGCAGGGTAGCCCAGAGCCCCCTCCACAATGGCTGTTTATTAAGGTTATACACAACAGGTGGGGAGAGTTAAGGACTGACATAGGAGGGCTGCATGGGTAAGGATTGCCACGTGCTCTTTCCTCACGCGTTCTTTCCCCACAACCCCCATGAAGAACTACTAAGCATCAATGTTTAACACAGGCTTACAGGTGAGTGACTGATCTTATCTCATTCCAGAACACTGAGTTACTTGGGGGATTGCCCCTGTGTCTCTAGGCTTGCCAGGAGGCTGTCCTGTTCTCAGCATTTCCTTTTCCTTTTTTTTTTAAATTTCTTATAGCATAAAAGTGTACATTAATGCAATCATGGAGTACAGTGTGCTGTTTTCATATACATTTTGAAATACTCTCATCAATACTCTCATTAACCTTTCCTTTCAATGTGTTAAGAATCAGTAACTGTCCTTTGCAAGCATGGTGTCCATTCCTCTACAGTTTTGTGATAAAATTTTTACATCTTATATAAAATATTTAAAAAGGAAGTGTCAGAATTTCTAGATTTATAGACGAAAACGTTCTTTAGCTTTTGTTTGTGTTTCACTTTTCCAGTGTGGACTTGGACTTTCTGCTCCTTTTACTACCCAAATAAAAAGAAGACTTAACAGTTGAGAAAGCTCACTAGCATTTTAAAAGCTGAACCTACACATGAAAGTTAATTTCTTTCTAAAATAAGCTTCTTCCTTTTTTCTCTTCCATTTGAGGAACAATGTTTGGCGGAGGAGGGAGGCAACTTACCCAGACTAAAGCTCAGAGATTCTGTCTTTAGAGGACCTTTAATTTGGGGGCAGACTAAGGAGCCTCAGCCTTCCTGAAGAATCACTCCTGAAACTCTTGGAGCCTATTTCCAGTGTTGTAAAGTCAAGTGACTTCATATATAAATCCGTTCACACTAGTAATATAATTTTCCCATGTAATAAAAGCCCACTAAGCCTGTTTCAAAATTTTAAATTCAATTAGTATTTGTTTTCAGGCATTTATTTTCAGTGAAGAGACAGGAAATGGTGGTTTATTTTTTCAAGAAAAAACACACTGTATGTTCCCACTGATACTGCCAATTCAAATATAAGATTATACAGTTTTTGCTTAAATGTCTTGATTTCGTATCTGTATCTAACTTGGCCCCTGCTGAAAATCCCACCTTCCACTCCAACAAAACCTCAAGTTTGCTTTCAACAAACAATACACAGACAATGGTTCCCAAATAATAATATGATCACTGAATAGAGTTTTAGGTTTTATCACTGGATTGAATGCTGGTGGAGTCAAATTATGATTTTTGAAATAACTTGGGAAAATTCTTCCCTGTGGGGCTATGCCAAAAACCCATTAAATAGTTGAAGTTGATTTGTAGCACTGTTTTCTTTCAATTGTAGGGATTCTTAAAACCAGTTTCGTAATTATGTAAATATGTACTTTGTTCCAAAGTTAAATTTATAAAACAAACTATTAAAACCAATTATATTCAGAGCATTCTAGCTACTGTTCTCTCCCTACTCCCACTCTTATGTAAATTTCAAACAAAAAATTACAGCTATGCTTCCATTATATAAATTCTTTCATACATATTAGCATTTTATAAGCCCTTTTCACCACCTGGAGATCACTATACAACGGCACCTAGAGATATTCCCCACGAACGCTACTCTCTTATTTGGACGCACTGTAATTTAGCTGAACATCCATCTACTAAGGGGCATTTTTACTGGTAACACGTTTTTTGTTGCACTTATAAATAACACCGCAATGAAAAGTCTTGTGTGTATCTCTTTTTGTACCGTTGTCAAGATGTCTTTGAGTAGATTCCTAATAGAGAAATTTCTGGGTCAAGTGGTACATGGATATTTAATTGATCTTTGTATTGTCAAGCTGCATTCTAACACTTGGCATGTCTGTAAGCATTGTAGGACAGTTCCTTTTTACCCACTGTCTTGTCAAAAAAAAAAAAAAGAATTCTGTTAAGCCTTTATTTATTGATTTATGCAGTTTTTGGCTGGGGCTGGGCTTGAACCCACCACCTCCAGCATATGGCATCAGTGCCCTACTCTTTTGAGCCACAGGTGCCACCCCTGTTAAGCCTTTTGGTTTTTGCTAATCTGATGGGGAGAAACTGCACTTCTCTTACTCGGAATGAATGAGGTTGAACAACTTCACCAATATTTAAGAGACACTTGTCCTACCTCTTCTGGAAATTGTGTGTTTACTTTTCTAGCATTTTTATTATATAATTTGGAGTATATTTCTTCTTTATTTTTAGAAGGTCTTCATATATTGATCCATTAAGTCTTTGAAGTGCAAGTAGCTAATAATTTTTCCAGTTTTTTATCTTTTTACTTTGCTTATAGTGTTTTTTATTTTGTCAGCCCCAAATTTTGTGTGTGTGTGTGTGTGTGTTCACAATGAAACTAATTTTTTTCCTGGGATTTACGTACATTTAGGAAAGTATTTCACCCACATAGAAGAAGTTTGGCATGTATTTTTTCCCTTATGACATGTATAGCTTTATTTTATGCATTTAAATATCAGATTCATTTTGAATTCAGCCTGTTGTACAAGTTCAAGTGATTCCTACATTTACCCAGCAGGAGCTAGTACAAGCTGATCCTGGAAACCCCTGCTGACAGAGCTTGCCATTGTCACGGACAGACTACTCTCTGGAGAGTCCCCGGTTGTGTCCCTGTGTTGTTTCATTTGATAAGTTCTTAGTTATGACAGCGTTATGGCTTATAAAGTCGGTAAAGTTCCTGATGCCTCAACTTTTCTTTGAACATTGATGTAATGTGTTATTATGCTTGGTGAATAGCACATTTTAACTTTGGAAGCAGAATGTATCACTGTTAAAAAAAACAAAACACAAGAAACCCAAATCTTGGCTATTTCTCTACTTGAGACTTCAAAATTTTAGTATAAAACGCAATCCTTCAACTGCATGACGGTGCTGCTACTTTGAAAAACAGTACAGAAGAGGGCAGATAGTCACGTAGGGAGACAATTATTATGTGCTAAATAGTCTTGATTTCAATTGACCATTGCTTTTAACTGTATATCCATTTTTTCTCACTACTCCCAAATGGACACACACGAAAATGTCATCTATAATAAAGACTCACCACTACTGGAAGCGTCATTCAGATTCAGCAGGCCCCCTCCCAGCCCTCTGTAGCTATGGTAACTGTAGGTCCCGTTTCCGTTGATGTACAGCACCTCCTGTGAGCCGGGCACAGCTGATGTTGAGTAAGTGGCCTGAGCCGCCTCCGGCTTACACTGTTTGTCAGCTGGAGCAGACTCGTCCTGCAATGACAGATAGCGTTCCATTATTTACCAAAATCACGGAACTATGTCACCTTGAACGGGACTCTCTTACAGTAATCTATATCTACATCTTCATCGAAAAAGAAAAATACATACGGTGAACATTAAGTAAGCACACACACATTTTCAGTATTTCGTAAAAAACTAAAATAAGGAAAACAAAAAAACAATGTGCGCGGATGGAAGGTGGAGCAATTGACAATTTTCAAGTGGATTTACAATTACACGAAGGGAAATATGTACAATAACTAGGAGGTGGAAGCAACCTGCATGTATATTACAGGTAACTGGATAAAGAAAATAGACTATAGACACACAAGAGAATATGAGTCAGGCTCTAAAAAGGAAGGAAGCCTGTCACCTACCACGACATCAATGAAACTTAAGGACACTGTGCTGAATGAAATAAGACAGTAACCAAAAAGCAAATATTTCATGATTCTATTTATAAAATATCTGAAGCAGTGAAACTTAAGTGAGATGGTGGTTTCCAGGGTCTGGGGGAGGGCTGGGCGGGGACCCCTTCTGTGGATATAGAGTTTCAGTCATGGTGGGTTGTGGGGGGTGATCCTGGGAATCTGTAGCACAACAATGTGCAAGCCATTGACAGTATTCCACTTTACAGTTGGGAATTGTTGGAAAGGGAAATCTTGTGTTTAATTTGCTTTTTAAAAAAAAAAAACTAGTTAGGCTTAAAAAAATTACATGAAGAGAAATTATGATGAAGGCAAAGAAATATGTATAAAATTTGAGGTTCTTAGGCTCCGTGCCTGTAGCACAGTGGTTATGGCTCCAGCCACATACACTGAGGCTGGCAGGTTTGAGCCTGGCCCCTGGCCAGCTAAACAACAGTGACAACTGCAACAAAAAATAGCTGGGCATTGTGGTAGGACTTGGGAGGTTGAGGCAAGAGAATTGCTTGAGCCCAGGAGTTTCAGGTTACTGTGAGCTGTGACGCCACAGCACTCTACCAAGGGCAACATAGTGAGACTGTGTCACAAAATAAAAAATTTCTTTGAGGTTCTTAATCTTTTTTGCAACTTTCTCTTTCTCTTCTCCCCATACCTCCCTCCTCCACCTCCCCATCCCTTTCTTTCTCTGACATCATGGTTATAGCAAAATTTGCTGGGTGATGACTGAGCTGACTCCATTATATGCATTGTAACAGGTCTGACAAGGGTACAAATGGAGCCAGGCCTTTCAGTATTTTGTTTGTTTTGCTTTGTTCATTTTTAAGTTGCACTAGTAGCCATAAAATTTGCTTTGAACTTTCCAATTATGTCACATTGTAAAGAAATACAATTTTTAATTCATAATACGTTGTATGTATTTCCCACAGTAAAAACGAACGAATGAATTTCCTTTCTGCTGTGAGTTTATGAAGCCTAAAGTATACACTACACATATGGCTTTCCTTGCCTGCTGCATTCTTCATCTTCTTTCTTTTTTTTTTTTTTTTTTCGCAAAAGAAAAAATGATAATATTTTGAACAGACAGCCACAAAATATTAGTTCATGTTATCAGTTCATTCAGTACCATGTAAATGTAAATAATTCCAGTCCACTAGATCTTAAAGTAGCCAAGTTCTAAAGCCACATGCTTAACTAAAGGATTCTGGAATCCTGGCTCCAGGCACTGGTATGACCTGAACAAGATGTCTGTTACTTGAAGCGTCAATAGTTTGAAGCAGCTGGCACACTCCTTTTCCATCAGGCTCTGAGATTGTTCTTTGCTAAAGACACAAAAGAGTTTTAAGCATGGAACCGGAATGATGACATTTGGGTTTTGAAAGGACCACTCTTTTTGCAATGTAAAGAAAAGTTTTTAAGGAGGCAAAAAATAGATAAGAGGGCCTCTTGATGAATAAGACAGAGTGAAAGAAGAACACAAAATTCATCCTTTAAAATAAAAAACACAGGCCAGGCACAGTAGCTCATGCCTATAATCCTAGCACTCTGGGAGGTCAAGGCTGGAGGATCACTTGAACTCAAGAGTTCAAGATCAGCCTGAGCAAGAGTGAGACCCTGTCTCTAAAACCTAGGTGGCCATCATGGCAGGCACCTGTAATCCCAGCTACCTGGGAGGCTGAGGCAAGAGGATTACCTAAGCCTGAGAGTTTGAGGTTGCTGTGCACTATGATGATTCCATGGCACTCTACTGAGAGTAACAAAGTGAGACTCTGTCTCAAAAAAAAAAAAAAAAAAAAATGGCTTTTGTATAGTGGTACCCAAACAGAGAAACAAATAGTTCTGATGGGACTCAAGGTGGCAGAAGGAAATAGCTCCTATACCTGGCTCTTGTTTTCCCAGAAACAAGACTGAATGGAAGCTAAAAAGTACTGAGAAGTTTTTCTAATGCTCTGAAAAGACTGAGGTAGAGGGCAATCTATTCTGAGAAAGACTAAAACAAACCCTGCATGGAAGCAGCCCATGGGTAGCACCCACCACACCCAGAGACGTAGGAGAGGGCACTGTCTCCCAGGGCACTTTGCTAACATGGCGGGGTGCAGAGAATTCCACAGAAGTAGAATCTGCCTCCAGCAATGCAGCAGGCCTGGATATTGGACACATAGCAGACTCTCAGAAGAAAGAAAAAGCAAAGTGCATGTTCAGTAGCAGGCACCGTGCTTAGTGCTGGCTAAGCTAACTCTCTCCCTGCAACACCTGCATGATTAACATTGAGGAAAGTGGACAGGAAGCAATATTTAGTGTTCAAGTTGTAGATGGAAACAAGGAAGACACATGGGACCCAGTGGAAGTGTGAATCAAGGAAAATTCACCTGCACTATATCTGATCAAATAGAAGGCCTATGCAGAGTTCAAGTAAACTGAAGACAGTAGAACCTCTGTAAGTTGAGAACTGTAACAAACTGGTCATCATATGGAAGTGGTCAACATAAGGAACTAGGGCTACTGAAGTGGTGCCTGTCCAGTCTATGAAAATTAGGCCAATTTAAGGAGGTGGTCAGTGTAGGGAGGTGGTCAACTATGGAGGTTCGACTATACTTTTATTTCAGAACAGGAATAACATGATTCTCTTCTTAAAGAATGATGTTTCTCCTTTGACCTTGTTATCCTCTTGTGTTAGTTTTCCACACATACCCCTTCTTCTATCTGCCTTTTCGTCTATATAGAGAATAGAATAATGGTCATCGAATGTTCATTTTGGCATTTGGAATGACTAGTCTGTTTCTATGTTGGTTAAGGATTTTTAATGAGTGGGTAACATTTTAATAAACACATGGGGGCCACTTCAAAGAAAAAAAATACCACCTTTTAAACATCTTTAAATGAAAAAATGTACTTGCTGAAAGGAAAGTCTCCTGGTATTTTTAAAACAACTCAAAATAAATTCACCCCTGCAATAAGCATTTGGTGATAATGAAGACACAATCACTGAGCAAGTTGAGTATGAAGAACAGCACATTTGTTGAGTTAATAACTTTTTGAAACCTGTGTGAGGTCCTCCTAGTAAGCAAAATTTCACTGAGTTTATTTCTGGTTTCAGATTCTTCGAAATGTCATTTTAGCCGTGCTGTTCATCATCTCCATCTTGGAGTTCTGCATAGCCTGTGCCACTGCCCATTTTGTCAGGCAATCTATCTGCAACATCAGTAGGGTGAGTTGGGTCTCCTCTGTAAAATAATCTGAATACACGCAAGAGAATACAGACTCGTGTCTGCTAAATCCCACTATGAACTTACCAAATTGTTCTTTGTCCTTGACTGTGCTGGGACCAGGGAAAACTCAGTAGCCTCACAGTAACAGTATTTCTTGTTTCTATTCATTCTTTCCAGTCTGTTCCAGTTGTTCCAACTGTGTATGCAAACAACCCCTTGCCACCAGAGTTGTCTTCTCCTCCTCCCAGAAATGAAGGCTACCTATATCCTGAGGTATTAAAAGAAAAAGAGGCATCAGTCTATTCTCATGCAGTAAAACCACCCTCAGAAACTTCTTAAGAGAATGTCTTTTATGGTCCATGATGATTTCTAATCTTTAAAGATTGTGTCTGAGATTTGTTCTTAGGTTGGTCCCTGATGATAATTCCATCTCCCTGTCACAGTCTCTATGTGCCATGACAGCACACTGGCAAAAGTGTCAGACTAGATGACTGAAAAATGACTCTACAACTCTCTTAAAGTTAGAAAATTTCCTGTTCATGTTACCTTTTCCTCAATAAAATGTCACTAGAAATATAAGCTGTCTTTAGTATTTTTTAAATTCATTTTGGTTTTGTATAGGTTGTAGAGCAAAACTTTGTAGATATTCAAGAGGCATGATGTTTGATGATATAAATATAGAGTATTTTCAGGTATATTAAACTCATTTGCAATGGGGCAATAGCAGGGCAAGGATGGTGCATTGAGGGGGTTTGATTTGAGCTTTCCTTTTTGGCGTGTTTAAAAGCCAGTGAGAACAACCCAAGTAAGAGAGAAGGGATGAATGACAGTGTAAGTTTCAAGAGATCAAAAGAAAGAGGAAAGAAATGGGTTTAAGTCATGAAGAAGGGCAGTTTCTCTATCTAACAGAAAGAAAGATTTGATTGTTGCCAATATCCATAGGTTTGCAGTAATGGTAGTGAGCACATAAGAAGGTTCCAATATGATGGCTCTTGTCATCCCTGTCAAAGCAGCAGTGAGGTCATGTCCATGATGGGCCACATGGGTAGTTACACCATTTAACACAATGAGAAATGTGGGAAAAGTCATGGAAATTAAGAAATAACCTGATCGGAGAAACAGAGGAAGGCTGTCAAGCTGTACTGAGAGCACTTTGAAGGGGTGATAGCATATTTATCATATGAACAAATTGTTCCAGCAGAGCTTGGATGCTCACATATGGACCCAGATTGAGTATCTATTTGATTACACTGCCCCTAGTGTGTTTGGTTTAAGTGTTTGATGCCCCTAACACCCACACTGTTCAAGGGTCAAATGTCTACTTTCAAATCTTGCTTCCTGGAAGTTACTGTTACCTTTT